ATATAAGCAAGAAGAATTAGAATAAGATTAGTAAGAAATGAAACTTTTAATATGAGACTTTTTAGCGTAATGCTCGAATAAATGCGTCTATTATTGTTCTACTGACAAAGTAATATTAACAAGTCAAGGGAGATATAGATGTAGCATAAATTTTCCATCTCTTAGATAAAAATATCGCAACTGTGTGAAGCGAATGATTATGAACGGCTTTTCGTCAAAATTAATCTCTTTAATTACAACGATAAAGTTTTTATTTTTGTACATATGAAATCTGAAATATAAAGTACAAATGTTACCTAAATATAAAGTACAAAAATGTTGTTACCTATAAATAATAATCTAATAATAAAGCAATCGGTGAACTAGTAAATATGACATAATATAAATAGCAAAATATTAGACTTCTCATATTTTTTAAAAATATGATCCGGTTATAGTAGTTCAAGCTTGTATTATTTCTGCAAATTATCCCTTTCTCTAAAATTAATTTAGAGAAAGGTATTAATTTGGCTGGTATAGAGAGAGGATTAATGATCTATCTGGAAGAGCAGAATGGACAATCTCGCTTATAATTCGGTCAGTTCTGGGTGGGTAATCGCCATATCTCAACGCGGCCATTTCATGCGGCCGCGGCACACATGTGGCCCGTAATCGTTGCGTTATCGCGTTATCGCTATTCCGACGGAACATACCGACCGCGTTATCGCGTATCGCGAGTACGTTGACTCCCACTAACGCGCGCGCAGAAGCCACCCGCTATCTTCGTAGCTGACTTCTCACTTCGAGCGTTATCGCGTAGACGGGCAGATACTGCGATTGTCGACCTCCACAAAGACGTAGTGGTAAAAGGCCGGCTGACGTCAGGTCGTCGGTTGCGCGTGTTGGTTTGATGTTGATGCTACCATACGGCTGCAATATTCTCGTTAATCCACCGTTCCGCAAGTAGGAAACCAGGGTAGGTGGTGGAAGGCCACTCAAGGTCACCAGGTATTTTTAGAAAGTATAACACGTGTGATGTAACATTTTTAGAATCGCTTTGCCGATAATCGCTCACCGATAATAACGCTTGCGCTCACTTTTGGTAGAACCGGTTTCCTCCGAACGCTCACAGAGACATCTTATTACTTTTTAGACCGATCTATTAATTCATAAGATAGCTCAAAGGCGGGATATTGGTTTTACGGCACTAAAAAATGTGTCTCGCGAAGATAACGTCTTTTCCGATATCGACGGTTTAAAAAAGCGACCTATAAGGTGTAAAAATTCACGCGACACAAGAGCGACATTGTATTCGGCCGCCTGACAATCAATCGATATCGTCCGTCTTCGCTTATCCCGCATATTTCGGACTCTCTGGAACTCGCTTCAGAGAAAAGCTGTCAAACCAGATTTCGCACCGGTAAATCCAGTTCCGGACAGGTCTCGCTCTTTCTCTCTTTCTCTCTCTCCTCTTTTTCCCCCCCTCGACATAAGACAGGGCATTCGGTTCATTTGGCGCGCTCTATAGAAACCCGCAGGAGTTCTTATGTGCTATGAACGGCTAGGGGATAAAGAACCTGGGCTGGTGCACAAAAGAACCTGTTTTGTAACAGGTACAGGATAAGCTTTCCGCGCCGGTAACGTGCAAAAGCATCGTCGCTTTTGTATCAGGTCCAGGTTGTAACCTGGTTGTAATACGTCTGGCAATCTCTCTTTGGTGCCGCTGCTGTCGAATAGTTCCCCAGACTTCCCCCCCCGCATCGGCATTCCGCGCACAGTCGATGCCTCGAAGCGCAATACGTTGCATTGCACACGCGTTTCCGGCAGGTCTTTCATAGTTGCACGCAACGCCGTGATAACTTTATATCTCTCCGATGTATTTCTTTGAAATATCCTCCTTTTTTGATAGACGAATAACGGAACTTAATTTCTTATCTCATTTCTCGCTTAATTTCAATTAGATCTTACTTTAACAAAAATGTTAATTTTGAAGAGAAAAGAGTTTTTATAGATCTTTCATCCTCATCCATGTCATTTTAAATCGTGCTGCTATTATATAAGCAGGTGTTCAAATTAGAATTTCAAAATCATAAAAATAGTTAGCATGTAGAAACTAAAATTACGAAAATAGATAGTATCTGATTATGTTACAACTTCGTTAAAATTTCGAAAATAATGAAAACTGCATCCGGTCAAGTTTTCATATTCCATTTATAGGGGAAAAAGCAGTTTGTTTTCTATAAAAAAAAAAGTTTATTCAACAATAATTTATCGTCGATCTGGTATTTATGGCATTCCTACACGAGTGCTTCAAGTAGGTCACATTGAAAGATATGCACTGAAACCGACCTCAACGTGGTCGACAGCGTGTAATCTACTTTGTTAAGGCCGTTTAAGCGCCCTCAACTACCGTTTTCAACATCGCGAGCTTTTCCCGCGGCGAAAGCACCGGTGCTGATGATGCACACACACATACACACATACTTCGGAAGAACCGGCTTGGCCACAATGCAGGCGGAAACAGGTTTTGGAAACGAGTCCCTTGAAACGCCGCCTGGCAGTTTGCCAGGTCCGTAATATGTCTGCATCTAATGTCCGTTCGCGCTCTTCCTCCCCTGTCCTTTCTTGCCTTACGCCTCCAGCTCGTTCTTCTATCCCGAGATGTGTACGCGGCAGTTAATCCTCATCGCGGCTCCCCTCAACAAGCGACTCATAAACAGCCGGTTTTTATCACCCACCTATGCAGCTGGACGAGAGCCGTCGACCTTGGCGATGGTGTACCCAGTATGATCGAAACGCCCCGTTGCGACCATTTCAAGTATAAGATTGAAAGAGTTATGTCGAAAGAATTTTCGCGATCTCACTGTTTTCTATATATAGTCTTAGACGAGTAAACTATTGATAAATTTAAACATTTATGAGTGAAAAATATTAATAATGATTAGCGAGCACTAATTGGAATGCAGTTATTTATTCTCACTGGTCAAATACATCGCTTTAAAGTAAAACTCTTTTATTCATAAATCTTTTAAGAAGATTTACAGGGGAAAAAAGAAGGATTACAGAAGAATAACATTGATTTAAACACAAATAAAAATTTTATGAAAACTTTTTTGTAAATGAAGGTTAACACTCCTATTTTAATCCCAGTTTTGGAAAAGTTGCGATGAAATTAGATACGAGTACTGTGGAAGGCAACTTCTTTGGACCAGGTCGCGAGACGTTTCAATTTGGAGTCGGGAATATAATTTTCTCGGTGGGAAGGAAATGGTGGTAAATGTTCTTATCCGTGATTTCGTTGATTTTAAATATGAGAGAGAGAGAGAGAGATCGAAATTCCCGGGTTGAAAACGGCCGTCCTAAAGTCAGTTTCGAGTGTTAAGTAACTCTCACGGTGGCGACTCAGCAGCACGTTGACGGAAACGAGCACGTCGACTCGATTTAGACCGCCTGGAAACCGGGGCGACTTCCTATTTTTGTTGACACACTTTGCGAGATAGTTGAATCAGGTGCACTTCGTAGATAACGTCGATGAGCAATTTGCGAATTTTGGACGATACGTCTTGTAACCTTTTTGCTCATTTCATTTACGAATCACTTTGCTTTTTATCGTCGCCGTGACTTCCGATTATGCGAATTTTTTGTGCGTATGTAAATATCTATGCGTGATAGTAATTGGCGCATACTAATCGTTTTCCTGATACGAATTGATTTGTAGAGAACGAGAATCTGGCCTCGAGGCGCCTGTCTGATCGCGCGGTGAATTAACGACTGCGAGATATCTTCATGACCTCGAAGAAACCAGTTGTACACATATAGGGTGATCGATAGTCGCCGTCTGCTTTTCTAGCTTTTAAATATAAATTAGATGTTAAATTTTGTCACATACGTGACGTACAATCGATGATGTTATTGATTCGAATAAAAATTCGTTAGGGAAAGAAGGATATTTATCTATTTATATAAAAGTACTATTTGTACTTATTGAAATTAGAAAAAATTAAAAGAGATAATTTTGTTATAAGATTTTTCAGTATTTTTCTTAATTTTAATAACAGCTTTCTGAATGAATTTAAAGTCAGTTTTTCTTTAAGTAAAAGTTTGATGAAAAGACCATTACATATCTTGGTAACTAAATGCCAAATTGAAATTCTGCTAAAGTTAACTTTACTTGGAAATTAAGCGAAGAACGAGCGTCTTATCATCTCTTTTGCATCTCTTCACTTACCGTCGCTTTCTTCGATCGGGCACAGTCCGAGAACTGTTGACCTTTCGACGTATTTGCCAAGGGCGAATTATTCGAATCTTTGACGCGCCCGAACACCCCGTATACCTCGCCCGCTTAACGACGTAACTCGCAGTTACCGATAACGACCGACCGACCGACCGCCCTTACGCAATGTGCTTAGAGTGCCGGCAATTAGGGTAATTGCATTCCACGCGCGCGGTCCCATTAAGAAATCCACAAAGGGCGCAGTACTGCCCCAGTACTGGCATTACTGGCGCGGTACCGGCAGCCAGTGTTGGCCCCTGTACTGGCATATATCTGGGGTGATAACGATGTTCTGCACTGGTTTGCCAGTGATGCGCCAGTAGTGGCAAGCCAGTATTGGCATTTAGTACTAGGCCAGTATAGGCTGAAAGTGTTGGCGCAGTACCGACGTAACTACGGGCGCGATACTGACATATGTCTGGGATTATAAAGATGTTCTGTACTGGTTTGCCAGTGATGTGTCAGTAGTGGCAACCAGTATTGGCATGTAATACTACCCCAGTATATTGGCTGAAAGAGCAGGCGCATCAGTACTGACGTAACTACGGTATTGGCGTAAATCTTATTGACTTAAATGCTTATTATGCAAAATAGAATGATATGTAGTTGATGTAGGTATTTTATGAAAAGAGGAAAAAGAAATAAACTCCACATTTATTAAAACTCCAGATTTATTTTTATAAAAACACCTTAAACTTCAGAAATGATTTTAAGATGTATACAAAATAAAAAGAAAATAAATTCATGTTCTTCAAACAAACTCTTGTAATGAAAAAAATAAATGAAACACTCATTTTCGTATATATTTAATGTTTTGTGAGTATTATTATTAAGTATTATCCTTCGTTTCTTTGAGTCTTTTTTAAATTTCTCTCTTTTTTTCCACCTTCTCTATCTTTTGCACCCGAAAACCAACGACTAAATTGGGAGTTAAGTTCTTTTAACTGTAGTTCGGGGCATTTAGTCAGAATGACTTCTGAAATATAATAGAATATATTAACCTTTAAAAAATAACTGATTATATTAAAAAAATTAGTAGTGCAAGAAAGAATACTATACCTCGAAGATATTTGTAAGTTTCTGTTTTCGAAAAATTTAATTTTTGAACACCATTAGTTTCTCGTCCAAAAGCAGAATATAGAAGTTGTACGTTTTTTGTAATAATGCGGGGAATAACTATACTAAGATTTTCTGAGAGCCTCATTGAATTTTTAGTATTAAGCACCATAAAACATTTCTGAAAGAAGAGAAAAATTAAATATAATAAATTAAATATAATAGAAGTAAAATCAAATTAGAATAAGGAATGTGAAATTCTTACGACTTTCTTGACCAAGTCCTCATCCTTTTTCAAATCATCTTCAAACTGCAGGAAACTGTCTAAGTCATCTTTCGGCAAATCAGCAATTCTTCCTTCTTCCATGATATTTTCAATATATCCACTGTTTTTACTAGCAGCAATAGTTCCTCTAATTTTTTCAGACTCATCGCGGATTCTATATTCAATACTTCGTTTCATGGATTCCAAGAAAGATTTTGATGGTGCTGAAAAGAATAAAGAATATGAAATATTAATGTAAAGACTTATTATATTTTTAATTATATTTTATTTAAATTTATATTAAAATTTAATTTAAATGTTATGACAAAATTATAAAAAGTAATTCATTATTGTTATGTTTAATTGAAATGATTTTAAATTATCAGATGTTTTTTTGACATGTACCTGTACGACCGCAAGTTGGGCAAGAGTTGTATCTTTTTTTCGATGTCTGGTCTAAAAACAAAAAATAAAAGAGATCAACATTTTTTAACTTAAAATAAGAAATTGGGATAGTTTAATAACGAATAATTTTTTAACCTTTCTTATTTTTCTTGCTTGTACTTGAAATCGCAGTTTTTGAAACGTCAAGTTTTTTTTTTGCTTTTTGCTTTGGATCAATTACTTTTGATCGAATAGAACTTTTTTGCGTTTCTGAGAACAAATAGATTTGTAAATAATAAACATTTTTTACACACATATAGAATCAGAAAATTGAAATTATAAAATTAAATTTATAAAAAAATAAATTTTACCCGCTGATGTTTTAGTGGCATTATCTTGTGTTTCCGACGATAATGTTTGAAGAGAATCTGAACTTACAGATTTTTCCTTTGTTGATTGCGTTTTTCGTTTTTTAGGCGATGGAATTGATGAACTTGAATTTGAAGAACTTGTAGCATTCTGCGAATCGTGCCCTAAAATCATTATTAATTGCATTTCTTATAACTATAATAATAATATATGTACATACACACACACATACATACATACACACACACACACACACACACACACACACACACACACACTTTTATAAAAAGAAAAAGAGAAAAAAAATTTACATTACTAAAAATTAAACACTACATTTGAAATAAAAATTTTAAAAATTTGTATATGTATAATAGTTAAAATATATATATAATAGTTTTTTGCCAACCTTTCAACTTACTGTTATGTTTTTTGAATGTTTTCTTGGTTTTTAATGACGACGTCGATGACGATGTATCACTATTATCAACGCTTGATTTCTCATCTTTAGAAGCATGGGATACCGAAGTGTCAGAATTATCTATTAAAAAAAAATAGTATTAAGACAATAAATTTGTAAATATTTACTGTATCTATCCATAACAAAAAAAATGTACCTTCTCTATAATTTTTGTGTGTACTCTTAAAATTTCCTTTAAGTGAAGGAATTTTATTCAGTGATTTCTTAAGATCATTTCCGGTCAGCTGTAAAGGGTCTTCCTCTTTTTCAGAACTGTGATATTCATCGATGTTGCTACTTTCAATTATCTCATCAGAGTATCCCCTCTTCATTCGTCTTATACCTTGTTCATAATTACCTAAATCGTAAGAAATGAAACTTTAGTAGAGAATCGCTATTCATTTAAATATGTAATACTTACTAGCTTCTTTTACAAGAATAACTTTAAAACTCTTCCATGAGGCGCCAGGTTCAGAAGATGTTTTACTCAGCTTGTTTACTTTCAAGTATTCAGATTTATTTGGGTATTTGCAGAACAATTGACCATCCTTAAGATGCGTCCACGTCACGGGTACAAGGTCGATGCTGGTTTGTCCAGTTTTACTTTTTTCAAAAAATTTGATTACGACATGAGTTGTATCTTTTTGATAATCCATATTAATATTTTCACTGCAATAAAGAGTAACACAAATGTCGATTAAGAACTAAAAGGTAAAATGAAATTAATTGCCATATTATAAATAAAGTTTACATTGATTTTTTATATAAATGTTTTTGCGTCTTTATAAATTTTTACCTGAAAGAAATAAGTTTACGTATTATGAAGAAATGTGACTGCGAAAGTATTGCTATCATTTTCAAAAAGAACACATTTCTTTCGGATATTTTTTAGAGAGACAATTTTTTCTTTTCGAGACAATCGGCCGAGTTTCATGATTCCTACTTTTGTTGATTCACACGGAAATTTGAATACATCCATGACTGTTTTGAATCCAAAACCATGCACAAAAATATTCTGCCCTTCTCTTTTCATCTTTGTAATTCTAAGTATCTCATTGGAATCCAATTGTACAATGCTGTTGGGCTTTGACGTATTTATTTCTACTCCATGTAGAATAATACTCTCTAGATCAACTGCATATTCATCTGGAATATCAGGATTAACTATGACATCTCTTTTTCTGTGAATAGCGTTCTTCTTCATTATTATTGGGCATGCTCTTTCTTCGGATTCTCTTCTAACTAACTGTGCCACAGGTTTTTTCTTTCCTCGAATTTTTCGTTTAATTTTACCAAGCTTGTTTTCAAAGGGGAATGCGGAAATCTCGGACAGAGACAATTTCGTGAACTCCACGTCATCTGCTACGTGAATTAAGTTATGGTTGTTTATAACTTGTGAATATGGACCGTAAAATGACGGAAGAAGCTCAACGAATTTTCTTAACAATTCTTTGGCATAATTGGTATGTTTTAAGCATAAATCTGGGTTACAAAGAATTCTACATGCAACTACAAGGAGAAGAAAGTGTCGAAACATATTTTTAGATAGAACATTACGTAACGCCAGGGCCCCACAGTAATGTAAAAAAAAACGATACTGCGTTGCTTTCCAATGACTCAATTCGTCTAAGTCCAGTGTTTTTCTTTGGAACTCTTTAGGTACATATCTCAACAATATTTTTAAATTGGAATTTAATAGTTTTACATCGCGAGTATGAAGTTTGCATTTGCGATTGATTTTCTTATTTATTCCAAGCAATTGTTCCAAAATCCACTTCATATTTCCCAAATAAAATAAATGCATGGAATCCAAAAATACTGATCTGACAGGGTCAAAATGTGTTATATCCAGCAATGGTGATCTGCCTTCTAAATGATGCTCCTTTTGTCGCTGTCTTCTGAAGGAATCGTCAGTCCGCTGTTTAGAATTCATGCTGGGATAAACTCTTCTCTTATGTTTGGTTATGCCTCTTGTTTCACATCGCTCACAAGCATAAAAGCCACCATGGCCTTTACACTTTTTAATAAACGATCTTGCGGGTGTATCGCAAGAAAATCCAATAATTTCTACCTTGAATTCTCTTTGGCCAATAGTTGCAACATTTTGAACTAAATAACTTGCTTCAGTGACAAAATCCTGTAAAAATTCATCTACACTTTGTGGCTTCGAATTTCCGCTATATGCAGCAACAATAAATGGTTGACACTCGTATTGATTGTGTAGAACAAGCCCCGAGTTAATCCAAAATTGTTCGCTTGAACCGTGATATAATGGGAGGCCATCAATATTAAATAATAAGCTAATAGTGCTCTCCGTGTATTCATCAGTGATTATCGCTTTTAATCCTTCTTGTATGCCAAAATATACATAAAAACCATTTGTGTTCTTAAAACTTTTCATACTTTTCACATTTGGATTAGATTTTGTTTGCAATAAGGTAGCTGCTGATTTGGGCAAATTCGGAAGATTTTCATCTCGTAAATGCACTAGCAGCACTTCTATTGCCTCAACTGTTAGACTGTTTCTAAATCTTACACACCAGTTTTGTAATTTTTCTGGAAAAGAAACTACTGTCACAGTTGAGTCATCATTACCATTTTCTTGAGAGCTTTCTTCTGAAGTCCATGACTGCTGAGAAGATAAAGAAGATGGAGAAGATTGGGAATTTGACGAGCTAAAATCTGGCGCGCTATTAGTCAGGTCAAAAGATGAGTCTTCGTCATCGCTAACATAAGAATTTGAATCGTCGAATCGACATTGCTTAGCATCTGATGCATTACTTGATAATATAATTTCTTTAGCTGATCGTTTCAAGTCACGGCATTTTTTTACTCGATAATATGCAGTACTCATTTTAAAAATTTTTCTGAAAAAATTGCAGTAGAATACAGAAATACAAATTTATTAAAAAACGACACTACGTAACATAAATTTGCTCTTATAATTTTAATAATTTTAATAAATATTCATTGTTAGTGCACAAATGTACAAATTCAATTATTATGCAATGAATACCGAATCTGATCAATACGCACACGCAAGCACTGCACACGCACACGCAAGTTCACACACACACTCACACACACACTCTCTCTCTCTCTCTCTCTCTCTCTCTCTCTCTCTCTCTCTCTCTCTCTCTCGCTTGCTCGCTCGCTCTCTCAATCACACCTTTGATATCTATTAATAATTCTTAGAATAAATTATAAGAACTCACTCAATATGTGTGTCGCAATGATCAGAAACAAAATATGTACGAAGAATCCACTTCCTCGTGTCTTCCTTCCCGTTCAATTTCCAGTACGCAAGGTAGGTATTTTTGATCGGCTCCGAGACTTCTTTCTTCTGTAAAAGAAACTATAATTATGTAGAAAAAACTTTGCGATCCTTCGCGGTCCGCACAAGAGACGAATACTTCAACGTGTACCGCCTTCTTCTTAATAATTTTAATAAATATTCATTGTTCAAATACCGAATCTGATCAATACGCACACGCGCGCACATGCACACGCACACGCAAGTACACACGCACGCACGCACGCACGCATGCACACACCTTAAGCCTGGTCTACCTGGTCGCAGTTCGGAAAACGCAAGACACACGCACCGTCTACATGTCAATCTAACCTCTCTGTGTATAGAGGTTAGATTGATATGTAGACTGTGCGTGTGTCTTGGCCAACAGTCGGCAGATATACACCGTTTGTGTGTGGATGCACACACATAACACACACACACGCACACACACGCACGTACGCACACGCAC